AACCGCTCAGGTCTCTCCTGAGCATCACAAACAACAACAAAAGTTTACTTAGGGTTGCCAAGTGTATCTTCGCCGGGAGCGGGGGGCTCCCGGCCGTCGTCCGGTGCAAGCGCGCGCGCACCGCACGCACATCACTCGGAAGTGACGCGAGGATGCCAGGCACACTGGGGGCAGGGCCATGCCCATACAAGGGAAAACCATAGAGTTTTCCCTTGTATGGCCGTGGCCCCGCCCCCGGCGTGCCTATGTCACTTCCTGGTGACGCGCACGCAGTGGTGGGGTTCCCCCCGGGGCCCGATTCCGCGTCGTCGGAAATCAGGCCTCCAAAACGGGGGTTTACCCGCCACCCGCCCCCACTCGGCAGCCCTAAGTTTACTCAGTCTGAGGACAACATCCAAGAGGGCATGTTATGGGCATGTGGTTTTTCATTTCTTTACAAGCAGAAGTGCATATCTCTGTGTCTTTTTGTAAGCCTCCCTTAAATAAAACTGGGCACAGCTCCAAAAGCCATCCGTTTCCTCTGACCTCTGTTTCCTCCTTTGCAGGAATGGCTGCCTTTGCCATGTGTCACGTCTTCTACATTTCTGCCTTTGGCCTGCGTCCCTTCCGGCCACTCACCTTGCTCCTCCTTGTGGGGCTGGGGGCTGCCGTTTACGTTTATCTCCTGCTGCCCTGCCTGACGGGCCTGTACGTCTGGGCTGTAGCAATCTACAGCGGCCTACTCTGCGCCATGGCCTGGCGGGCTCTTTCTCGGCCTGCCCATCAGCTGAGCACATCTGTTGGCAGCCTCCTCTTCCTCGTATCCGACGTCTTCGTTGCTCTCGACAAGTTCTGTTCTTCACTGCCTCATGCTCGTGTCCTTATCATGAGCACCTACTACTCGGCGCAGGCTCTTATAGCTGTTTCCGTAGCGCCTCAGAATAATCACCGGAAGAGGAACTGAGGCCTGGGCTGGGAAGGAGGCAGTCTCGACTGAGAGGGATCCTAAGACCCCTGCCTCACAGCTTCTCTGCTCGGCTAGTCCGTTAGACTCGGCTCTGCGAGATTCTCCACACTGATTCATCTACTTCCAGACTGTTCTGCCAAACATACCTCAGGGCGCCAGTGTCCTCCGTGACCCTTATGGCCTTCCTGTCCCTTTCCGTCTCCATAGTTTTTGTATTGAAGAATCTGCCACCTCTCAAAATTAAGCCGCAGTTACGTTGGGGTTGCCAGCTCTGGGTTGGGAAATACCTGAAGATTTGGGGGTTGGAGTCTGGGGACAGGAGGGTGGGGTTTGGGGAGGGGCCTCAGCAGGGTACAATGCCATAGAGTCTGCCCTCCAATGCAGCCATTTTCTCCAGGGGAATTGATCTCTCTTGTCTGGAGGTCACTCAGTTGTAATAACGGGACATCGCCAGGCTACACCTTGAGGTTGGCAACTTAGGTTACACTTTAAAGGCAACGTCCTCAGACATTTGTCCAGTGCCTAATGACAGTCCAGCCTATCTGGAGTGTTGCATGTGAGGAAGTCGAACACATGGGCTTCCAGGTTTGTTGTCGTTCCTCCCGGTCTGTTTCATTAGACATCTCTCAATTTATACTTTCTCTTTTTTCCTCCTTAAACACATGAAACTGCCTTAAATTGATTCGGGCCCTTGGTCCATCAAAGTTACTATTGTCTACTCAGACTGGCAGTGGCTGTCCAAGATCCCAGGCAGAGGTCATCTCACATCACCTACGGCCACACCTTTTTACTGGAGATACTGGGGATTCAACCCAGGGCCTTCTGCTTGCCAAGGAGACGCTCTGCCACAGAGCCACAACTTCTCCCAGATAACAAAAATCTGGCTTGATGAGAAGCGGGCGCCTGTTGACAGTGTTGAGATGCTGTGAGGGACACTCAAAGCAGGGGTCGTTTCGTAGAAAAAGAGCTAGGGGAACTCATTAGCATAACTCATTAGCATATGCCACACCCCCTGACATCACCGGAAGTGTGTCATAAGGCCACACCCCCTGACATCACCGGAAGTGTGTCATAAGGCCACACATCCCGCCCCCAAACTCCTGCCTCCTCCTGGCTGAATGAAGGCCGGAAGCGGGGCGGCCGGAAGCAGGGGGCGGGGCTTCATCATGTGCCCCGCCCCCGTACCTCACCCGGGGGAACTGCGATCCCCCGTGATCCCCCCCAAAATGACCTCTGACTCAAAGGGAAGAAATGCAGTGGAGGGCAAATTAATCTGCTCAAATCCCTGGAAGCACAGAGAAGGGGGGAGGTTTAGGAGCAGATTGCCAAATCAGTCTCCCCTCCCATGAGTCCTTGTAAATTTATAAATATAAAATTTATAAAGAATAATAAGTATATACAAGGCCTACCAAGTAAGACCACTGGTCACCTAGGACAGTACCGTTCTCTCTGACTGCCTACAATTCTCTCACGTAGACAGAAGTATTTTCTACCACCTGTTCCCTGAGGTCCTGTTTAACGGAGATGTCAAGGGTTGAACCTGTTGACATTTTGCATGCAAAGCACAGGCTCTACCTCCAAGCGATGGCCTTCCTGGAAAGAAAACTGTGAACACAGGAGCCTTGTGTAGCCCTCACAAACAGTCCATAAACAACTTTGGTAATATGTTCATTGGAATCTTAAAATCAGTGTAACCAACATTATTTCCCCTTGCACAGTTTTCAGCACCACGGTTCTAAAAAGGATGAATGAAGCTCCTGTACAGCAGACTCCTAAAGTGACAATTTCCAGCGTTTGTTGAATGAAACTGTGACAATGAATATGAAGCTGGTTTCAATTCGGTATAATTGTACAGAGTGGATAATACCCATACTAGATTGTGCCTTCCTTCCAGATATTGATGCTCTGTATTTCTGGGAAATTTTGATGTGAAGAGAGGGAACTGTGTGTGTGTGTGTAAAGTGCCACTAAGTCAAAGCCAACTTATGGTGACCCCATAAGATTTTCAAGGCAAGAGACATCCAGAGGTGATTTGCTGTTTCCTGCCTCTGTGTAGTGACCCCACAATTCCTTGGTGGGCTCCTATCTGCATAGTAAGCAGGGCTGACCCTGCTTAGCTTCCAAGATCTGATAAGATCAGGCAGGGCTTTTTTTGTAGAAAAAGCCCAGCAGGAACTCATTAGCATAATAGGCCCCACCCAACAGCAGAAACTCATTTGCATATTAGGCCACACCCCCGTGTTACCAGAAGTGTGCTAATCCAGCCACACCCACAAACCCAGGGCTTTTTTGTAGCAGGAACTCCTTTGCATGTTAGGCCACACACCCCTAATGTAGCCAATCCTAATGAGTTTCTGCTGTTGGGTGTGGCCTATTATGCTAATGAGTCCCTGTTGGGTGTGGCCAACTCGGGAGCCAGCCGGAACTCCGTTCCTGTGCGTTCCTGCCCCAAAATACCCCTGAGATCGGGCCATCCAGGTCAGGGCAGAGAGGGGAAATTGGACCTTCAAAAAGAAAAAAGAAAATATTGGCCACACCCTCCCTTGATGCTTTGTCCTCCCCCACAGGTAAGTTGGCCCTGTGCTGCCCCCGGCCAGCGTTAATGTACCTTTAAGAGTAGTTGCACCTGGGAACTGGAGTCCACAGTTAGGGGTCCCAGAAGCTTCACTCTGACTGGCTCATTAAGCGTAATTTCCTGAGCTCAGAGGCGCAAAGATAGGAGTTTTATTGTTCTTTTCCGTTTCTTTGTCCATCAACCCTTACCCGCAAGGAGAGGGGAAGCCCATCTCTTTTCTCACCACGGCCATAGGATTGACCTAGATCAGAAAGATGTAATGCTCTATCCAGCTATCAGTTCGATTGTGAGTAAATGATCTTCTGAATGCATGTGAAGTTAAATAAAGACGATTTAAGCTCTCTTCAGTGGCTGTGCGTTGACTCACACCTGGAAAGCATTTGCCTCAGCTGCAAGCTCACACTACACAGGACAGTGAGAAAAGAGATGGGCTTCCCCTCTCCTTGCGGTAAAACCTGTGTGCCCACCTGCTTTCCCACCCCTCAGCTTTACCCTCCCTTTGACTTTTGCTGGGAAGTCCATAACCCTGTTGCCAGTTTGGTGTAGCGGTTAGGAGCACGGACTCTAATCTGGGAGAACCAGGTTTGATTCCCCATTCCACAGGCAGCCGCTGGGTGACCTTGGGCAAGCCACAGTTCTCTTGGGGCTGTTCCTTCAAGAGCAGTTCTCAGTCAGAGCCCTCTCAGCCCCACCTACCTCACAGGGTATCTATCGTGAGGAGAGGAAGGGGAGGAGATTGAAAGCCGCTCTGAGACTCTGAGGGAAGGGTGGGGGTATAAATCCAATCTCCTCTTCTCCTTCTGTTTTCCTGTTGATTACATTCATACACCATCGCCAAGCTGACCCTCTGTTTGCCTGAAAGAATTGTCTGTTGTTTGCCCAGTGGGTGCTGAGGCCAGGTGAACTATTTCCTCCTAGGTTGTGGAAGGGGGAGGAGGCAAAGAAAACCACCCAAACAAAAGAGAGCAGGTGGCACAGTGCAGAGTGAGAGAGAGAGAGAGAGAGAGAGAAAGAGTCACAAAGTGGGCATTGTCAGATCGTAGCCGTCTTTTGGGGTCCTGTGGATTATATTTTCTGATGACGTCTAGTATCTTTTCCCAAGGAAGAGCTTGGATATCCTTCCTGCTGGTAAGTGGATTTTTAAAAACTGCTTTCTTACATGCTAGCGTCTCTCTGAAGAGTTATTCCCAGTCTGGATTTAGCCGTATCTTGACCAGTGACTGGTCGATCATTGCTTAAACAGTTGCTGCCCACCAGAAGCAGCTGTAGGTGGACATTATAATGACCATATCCTGTTGGGTTTTTTAAGTCAGTTGTCTCCCAAGGTAGCTCACATCAGTCAAGAGACATAGATCCCAGCCCTCATGCTTGCAAACTCAAAAAAGAAGCCATTCAAGCAGAAGGGGAAGGAGGAAGAGGAGTTTGGCAGGTTCAAAATGAAGTGGACATTTATAGCCTGTTTGAGAAATTGGTCTTTTCTTCCCAGTGAGATATGAACCTTAGATCACTGGCTCCCTCCCCTGGAGGGTAAGGCAGATGTTCCCCTGATGAGCAGCTGCCTGACACTTGCAGGGTTGCCAGCCTCCAGGTGGGGCCTGGAGTTCTCCCAGAATTCCAAATGATTTCCAGACCACAGAGATCAGTTCCCAGAGAAAGAATGGCAGCTTCAGAGGGTGTGCTCTGCCCTCTGAATGCCATAGATTCTACATGAAACCCCTCCCCAGATTTCCCCTTTCACAGGGGCCACCCCCAAACTGCCAGGAATTTTCCAGGTTGGAGTTGGCAAAGCTCTACTCCTGACTCTGAGTAAGGTGGTATCTTCTTTCTGGGTGAATGGATTGCTGAGGTAGAGCTTATTCCTTTTTGCAATTGAAAGATAGCTGATGAGTGTGTTTGCAGCAGGGTGCATGGATGAGCCACAGGGGTGCCTTCACTCAGTCCCTGAATGGAAGTGCAATATGCTCAGAATACCCTGATCTATTTGTGGACTTTCGGTAGTAATTAAAACAATTAATGTGGGAATCACAGCCCATTTCTCTAAGTTGCCAGTGGAATTAAAAGGATGTAACTCATGACAGTCACATCCTTTTTTATCAGCATGATAAAAAGTAGAGACATCACCCTGCCAACAAAAGTCCGCACGGTCAAAGCAATGGTATTCCCAGTAGTCATGTATGGCTGCGAGAGTTGGACTATAAGGAAGGCCGAGCGCCGAAGAATAGATTCTTTTGAACTATGGTGCTGGAGAAGACTCTTGAGAGTCCCTTGGACTGCAAGAAGATCAAATCGGTCAATCCTAAAATAAATCAACCCTGACTGTTCCCTGGAAGGCCAGATAATGAAACTGAAGCTCAAATACTTTGGCCACCAAATGAGAAGGGAGCACTCACTGGAGAAGACCCTGATGCTGGGATAGATTGAAGGTCAAAGAAGACGGGGACGGCAAAGGATGAGATGGTTAGTGTCATAGATGCAACGAACATGAAGTAGAGCCTAACTTCAGAGGACGGTGGAAGACCAGAAGGCCTGGCGTGATCTGGTCCATGGGGTCGCGAAGAGTCGGACTCGACTGTGCGACTGAACAACAACAACAAAAACTCATGGCAAACTGTCATCGTTGATGAGAGGGACAACAGACCCAACATTTTAAAAGACGTGGAAAAAACTGTATGACTGGTATAATATAAATGCATAGTTTAAAGTAATGAAATTGT